AATACAAATTGAGATTTATTTGAATCTAACACTGCTTTGTTTTGATGCAAATAAATTGAGTATTTGGACTATATTTAAAGCAATTAAAAGTATATTAGTCTGAATTAACATAATAAATTATGAAGAATAATTGCATATTTGATACAAATAAGTATTTAGTTATTTTAAAAACAATATTTTATTGATGCAAATAAATATTTATTTGAATTAAAAACCATGCATTATTGAATCAAGTAATTTTCCTATAACTGATTTAAAGTAATATTTATTAGATCCAATTATTTGACTCAAATAATTCGAATTTGCTACAAATACCTATATATTTGATACTATAAATTAAAATATTTATATCCAGTAAATATTTACTTAGCACAAATAAATAAAAACAAAGAAATAAGTGATAACAAATAAGTTTAATTACAACCGAACGAGCCTTAGCGAGTGAGGTATATGTAGCTAGTATTTATAAATTATAAATATTATTATACTATATATTTATTATTATACTATATTTTTAAATTATCCCAAAAAATGTCTTATGTAATTTTATATGGACAGCCCCAAAATGAGAAAAATCCAAAACATTAGTTTCAGTTAATTTAAACAGAGTTCTAATCAATTTAATAGGAATTCTGGTTATTTTAACCAAAGTTCAATTTATTTCAATCAAAATTGAAAAACAAATTTTAATTAATCTAAGGGATCATTCACATATTACGTCACGAAAATTTGGAAAATTGTTAACCCCTCCCCCCTCTACGTCACATTTTCTTACATAGAAATTGGTAATTTTTACGCAGGTCGTCACAAAACTGTAGACCCCCCTTCCCCCAAAGCCTGTGACGTAATATGTGAATGATCCGGAACTATATATTTTTAATTACCTACTTTAAACTCGAATTTTAATTAATCTTAAATTAAAATTACTACACCCTTATTTGAATTTTTTCTAGTGTAAAAACATTAATTATTATATTTTATTATTTCAATAGAATTTATAAATTTTTTATTAGTCAAGCCCTATACTTTTAAAATGAAAAATTTTATGAGATTTAAGTCGACCTCTTAAAATCGGCCAAAAATATTTTTTTTCTATTCTGTATCGAAAAAAAACAGATACGTACTTTTTTATTTATGTTTAATTGTCAAAATTTTCGAGTTATGAATTTTCGAAAATTTGGACTTTTAATTGTAGACCTATATTCAGTAGCTTATAAGTCCGAAAATATTGAGTTTAGGAAAAAGTTGTCAAAAAATGAAAGTTTTAGTTTTCTTTCGACTTTTAAGAAATGTAAACAAAAAATTTTTTTAAAAATTTTTTAATAGAAAAAAAAAAATTTTTTATAAACAAATTAATTTTTTTTAATTTTGGGCCTGATTTTTTTTTATTTTTTTGTACCTTATAATATAAAGAAGATTTTCCAAAAAGTCCCGAAATGGGCCTGATGTGTTAAATGAGTTTTAAAATATTTTCAAAAATCACTTGCAAGCATCACAGTGGGAGTTTTTTACAATTAACTTTCTAAAACTGTCTACAAGGTATAATTTTTAATATATTTGAGTGTTCTTTGTTTTAAATGAAAGGGTCTACGCTGTAAACATTTTTAAAAAGTGAAATGTAAAAAAAATCCCACTGTGATGCTTGCAAGTGATTTTTGAAAATATTTTAAAACTCATTTAACACATCAGGCCTATTTCGGGACTTTTTGGAAAATCTTCTCTATATTATAAGGTACAAAAAAATAAAAAAAAATCCGGCCCAAAGTTAAAAAAAATTAATTTGTTTATAAACAAATTTTTTTTTTATTGAAAAATTAAAAAAAAAATTTTTTTGTTTACATTTCTTAAAAGTCGAAAGAAAACTAAAACTTTCATTTTTTGACAACTTTTTCCTAAACTCAATATTTTCGGACTTATAAGGTACTGAATATAGGTCTACAATTAACACGTTGACTGTCGCTGACGCATATATGACGGGTTCCACGTCAAGTGACCCAGGTCGAAAATTTACATAGAATATTTGAAAAATTTGTAGTTTCTTTAAAACAAAACGAAAATACGTTTTCTATTTTGGGTTTTGATGCTCTTTTTCAACACTTTCTAATAAATAAAATTTCATTTTTTTATCAAATGGGCAGTTTTTATTTTTTTTTTTTAATTTTATCATAAAGGTGCACAGAGAAAAGCGAGTGTTGTTTTTGATGCGGGTAAATTTTGGTAGGGTAATTTTAGTGAGGATAAATTTTCTATAATAGAAAATTTACCTTATTTTCGGTGTTAAAATAACACTTCCGAGCTAAAGTTTGATGCAGACACTTTTAACACCGAATTCAGTGTTAAAATGACACTCACTTTTTTCTGTGTGAGGTTTTTTCCTAAAAAAATGTATAGGTCGAAACGTGGGACAAGAACTTTTAACTGGTCAAATTAAGCATTTACATCTGCACTGCACCGGGCCACAGTGGAATTTTTTTTACAATTTCCTATTAAAAAATGTCTATAGCTTACAATTTTTAACCGATTTGAGTGTTCTTTGTCTTAAATTAAAGGGGAATAAATTCTTAAGACATCCTTCGAGGCCGATTTTGGGTATTTTAATTATTTATAATTTTTTTTTAAATCAAAGTTAACAAATTAATACACTTTTTTAAAAAAGGACGTTTATTTTCTTATTCCGTTAATGCACATGATCTAAATCAATTTAAATTTATCCAATATGACCACCAGATAATTAATAAAGCATAAAATGATTTATTTTAATTGTTATAAACAATATACAGCCCAACAACGCGCAGGGGCGGTGGATTGCAGAAGTAAATGTTTATTTTGACCAGTTAAAAGTTCTTGTCCCACGTTTTGACCTATACATTTTTTTTAGGAAAAAACCTCACCTTTATGATAAAATTTTTTTTAAAAAAATAAAAACTGTCCATTTGATGAAAAAATGAAATTTTATTTTTTAATTTAGTTTTTCAAGGTCAAAATTTTTTTTTCTCTACATTTGTTTACACCATTAGAAAGTGTTGAAAAACAGCAGAAAAACCCAAAATAGAAAATGTATTTTCGTTTTGTTTTAAAGAAACTACAAATTTTTCAAATATTCCATGTTAGACCAAAAATTTAAACTTTTACTCCCTCCAGTTTTTATATTTGTTTAAATAAATTAATAATATTTGGTATTTTTAATTGTATCGAATAGGACTACTGTTTGTGCAAACTTTTAACCCGATCCCAAACATTTAAAATTTGGACCTGGGTCACTTGACGTGGAACCCGTCATATGCGCAAAACTAAACTGGCCAAAAGTGGTTCATGACGCATATATGAGCAACTTAAAAAAGGTGATTAAAAACTTCTTAAATGTTCCTGAAACCGGTTACTCGGGGGTTTTCGAGGTCGCTGATTACGAATATGATATTCGTTTTCCAAAATTAGAAATGGCGGATCCAATATGGCCGAAAACAAAATATAAAAATTCATCAGATTGACTTGAAACGTAATACTTAGGGGTTTTTGGGGTCGCTGATTACGAATCTGACATCAGTTTTTCGAAATTCAAAATGGCGGATCCAAGATGGCGGAATTTTTTTCAAAATTCGTTGAATTTGCTTGAAACTTGTTACTCGGGGGTTTTAAGGGTCGCTGATTACGAATCTAACATTAGTTTTCCAAAATTCAAAATGGCGGATCCAATGTGGCAGACGACAAAATAAAAAATTAATTATAATGGCTTGAAACTGAATACTCGGGGGTTTTTAGGGTCGCTGATTACGAATCTGACATTAGTTTTGCAGAGTATTTTCCGAAATTTGATTTCACCAAAAATTATCATACTGATGTCAGATTAACCAGTTTCAAACAAATTCAATAAATTTAAAAAAAATTTCCGCCATATTGAACTAGATGTTTTGAATTTTGAAAAACTGATTTCAGATTCGTAATCAGCGACCCTGAAATTTCCAAAGTATTCAGTTTCAAGCCAATCTGATCAATTTTTTATTTCGTTGTCCGCCATATTGGATCCGCCATTTTAAATTTTGGAAAACTAATGTTAGATTCGTAATCAGCGACCCTTAAAACTCCCGAGTAACAAGTTTTAAGCAAATTCGACAAATTTTTAAAAAAATTTCGCCATTTTGGATCCGCCATTTTGAATTTCGAAAAACTGATGTCAGATTCGTAATCAGCGACCCCAGAAACCTTAGGGTACCAAGTTTCATGAAAATCCATTAAAAATTTTTTCAACACACTTTTGGCCCAAACAGTGGAAATCTCGTTGACAGCCAAGGGGTTAAAAGTCCAAATTTTCGAAAATTCATAACTCGAAAATTTTGACAATTAAACATAAATAAAAAAGTACGTATCTGTTTTTTTTCGATACAGAATAGAAAAAAAATATTTTTGGCCGATTTTAAGAGGTCGACTTAAATCTCATGTGGAATTGCCCATATGTATAAGCATAATGAAAGCGTCTCTTTATTAAAACAAAAAGATAAAATGCCGTACGTTTAATTCGTGATATAAATTAAAAACAGTAAAACGTGTGTAAGTTATGATATAAAAGCAAATGAAGAATTAGTTAATGTAAATTACAATCTTACATCATTTGGGTCTATATACTAATGCAGTACCATGCATTAATTTCTTCCCACATTTATCTTCCCTTTTACTACTACGACAATGCGCAATGTAATTTCGTGTAATTTGTCTTTTGTTTTCACTAGCATAATGCACAATGCATTGTCTTCTAAAAACAAAAGGACAACAAAAGTAAAGATGCATTCATATAATATACTTTTTATTATTAATTCCACATAATAGAAAAATGTCTATTTTTTAGTAGTTATTTATAAAACAAAATGTCTTGACATAAAAGAATTTCTCTTGTAAAAAAGAATTCGATTTTGAAAAATAAGATTTTCTTTTTACTCTATATAGATATCGGATGGAAGAGGAAACATTTGAAGTAGAAAAATATTGAAAATAAATAGAAGACAGGATAGAAATTAACGAAGGTCAATCATTTATTAGTCATTAAACTGATATACCATTAAAAACAATAACAATAATTTTTTTCAAATTCTTTTTTCGAAAACTGGTAAGGACGTTTTGCAATGGCCTGTGTCGTCTCTGAGGTATCAAAGTAACAGTCAGGAGAATATAAAAGACCGTGTAGGCAATATTTTTTCAAAACTGATTCGTCAGTATGCATGTAACATCACTAATCTAATACATAATGACATATTATTTTCATTTTTTTTTGGATTATACAATTTTGTCCCACCAATTCGTTTGTGGACATATTGTTTTACAGGTAGACGATTTTTACTAAATTAATATTTCTATTTACACAAATTGTTATACGTACGTCAGATACGTTTTCAAACAAAATTGTTTCTTTCAAAAAAAAGGTTCTTTTTACCATATTTCGTTCGGCATATTTTCTTTCTCTCTTTCTCTCTCTTTCATTTAAACTTTCACTCACTTTCATAACTTTTAATTTTATACAAACAATTTACTCTTTCAACCACTCCGTCACAGTCAAACGCGCAAAAAACAAGTCAAAGATTATCGATGTTATCTTAGACCACTGAGCAGCAAACTGGCAAGTAACACTATAAAGGTCCATTCTTCTTTGCGGCCAGCCGTACTTCCTGAAAACAGAAAAGAAAAAAGTCACTTTAAGTCATAGTTAAATTCTCCAGGTTAATAAACCCAGAGGTCTAATTGAGTAACATTAAAAGCGTGGAAAAAATGAAAGCATCATTTCGAATTTACTAATTAAAGAAATAACTTGCGGATGTGGTTAAACATAGTGCTTAAAATTCTTGATTATCAAGTTAAAGATAAGTTTGGCATTTTAAGTATCATTTTATCAGGGAATTAATGTTATTGTCAATATACCGTTCGTTTAGTGTTTTTTCTACTTTCCTGTTTTATTAACCGGATGCAAAAAAATGCCAATTTTATTTTAATTTTTTGATAAAAATGCAATTAATCATATTTAATTACGTAAAATTTATTTTTTAATTATTATTCAGTCAATTTTATTTTCAAACTAATTAGTTTTACTTTAAAAAAATAATTTTGCGTTATATCATTTTTTTCTAAAATCAACGATATAATAAGAAATTTACCGACGCGTGTCTGACTAAACTCTAGATTTCTACTTAAAAAAATTAACGGAAAACTGCTTTACCCACTGTGACTATATTTTCAGTTGAAAATATTACACTGCCTTACCAAAAACTGATTTACTACTAAAATTCACTATATTTCAATCGATAAAAACAATGTAAAATTTATTTACAAATTTAAACATTTTGAAATTTAATAAATTTCGAATTCCATCCTAAAGCAATTAATTTTTATCCCATTTTTTCAATTAATTTCTATGAATTTTTATTCTTTTTTATTCATGTTCTAAATGTTTATCTAACTGACAAGCAAAAAATTCTTTTCGAATCATTCTAAATTGATTCATTTACCAATCTAAACGAAATGAAATAAAATTGAAGAAAAAAATAAAAAGTTTCGAAACAAAATGAATTAATTCAGAGAGAATTTTTTATTGGAGTTGTATAAAAATTTTAGTTTATATAAAAATTGTTTGATAAAATAAAATTGGTAATGAAAAAATAAATAAAATTGTAAATAGCAAAAAATTTAGTAATAAAATTTAAATTATATGCTCTACAGAAATTAATAATAGAAGTAATTCAGCATTGAAAATGATTGCTGAAAACAATTTTAATGAGAAATTCCCAACTATTATTTGAAAATGAATGTTCTTATTCAAGGTTAATAAATGAATTTATACACAGTCTATTCGAAAGAAACGAAGCGAAATTGATTTACGTTTTCATTACAAATATTTTAATCAAAGTAAATTGCTCTATAGGATGTAAATGAAATTTATTTAGAAGGGGAGGTAAAAAAGTATTAACGAAATTACTGCCACTATCAAGTGAAACTCTTATTTTCTATATAAATATATAAGATAGAAGACTTTTTTTTATTTCCATTATTTTTAATTTTAAAATTTCATTTTAAATTCAAATATTAAAATTAATTGTATATTTAAAGTACGATTTGAATATGTAAGTGCGTAATCCTTATTACCAGTATAAGAAGATTCCCGTGTACCTAATACGGAAGCGAGTCTCGGCCGTTCCTCTTCTACAACGATTTCAGCCTTTTCTTTATAAAGATGGAAGACGGCAGCATGGCATGCAATGCGCAATCTGCCACTATTAAAGCTATCTGAAATAATTTCATAATCCAATGTCGCCATAGTTTGTTGTCTACTGTCGGCAGAGATATTCCTTGAAACATATTTATTCGCAACGTAACTTGCTTTAACCTGCAATCAAATTTATTAATTATTTTCATTTTGTTTCATTTAAAAATGTATTTTATATGCAAATTAAGTAATCAGTGTTTATTGAGATTTTAATTAATTTTATGGTTTTCTTCACAACAATTGAAGATTAAAAAGTTTAAAGCTTATTGATAGAAAAATAACAATATTTTATCAATGAAAATAAGAAGTAAATAAGACTTTAATTAAATGAAGTTTAGATTCTTTAAAATATGGAGCAATTTATGTCCCTAAAGTTCTAAAAATTTGAATTTACGAAATTTATTTATTTATTCTTTTTCGTATTCAAATTTTATTATATTTAATGTAATATTTTCTAACAATTGGAAACAAAATTATAAACTTTGGATGTTTGCTTCAGGTTTTTCATTTTTATTAAAATCAATAATTTTTGAAAATATATTATTTATTTGATTGTTTAAAATTTTCGGAACAAAGCAAGTTTACACTGTGTTTTGAAACTTTTTTCCTAAATATAAATATGATTTTTATGTATAATAGGTAGGGTAAGTGTGGGTATTTCTGCGAATTTTTAGTGTAGGTTAACTTTGCAAAGCTCGTCTAAGTTTACGAAAAAATGAAATGCAGTTTTTTCATTTACAAATTAAAGTTTAATTATTATATTTTCCAAACAATTAAACTCAATCAAATTTCGTTACTTATTTGTATTTAAAAAAGTAAATTAAAAACTAATTGTCAACACATGTATTATTGTTGACTCGCGAGTAATATTGTGTGATATTTATGAAGGAAACACCAATTACTGTGCGAGCATTATTGCAGAAAATCAGATGTCGCATAGCGCGCTGGTTGTAAAAAAAGAGGTTATGTTTAGTATGTGTTGCGCAGTAAACGTATTTAAAAATCGCAATAGTACTAACATGCAGTAAAAATTCTGCTACTAATATAGTTTTAAGTATTATTAATTAAAAATCAATAATAGATGGGTAAATTAATATATTTTTCAAATAATAAAGTGTACTTCTTTGATTAGTAATACTGAAACGTGTATACTATAGTGAATATTGGAAATATCAACGGTTTTTAATATATGTGGACGTCCACATGAAAAGGGCCCATTTTGGCACTATTGGAGTTATCTATATGGGCGTATTCCTGGCAAAATTTGGAAAATTTTGAGTGGTCTTAGAACTTTTTTGGTTAAAAATTCGCTGAGTTACGAAATTTCAAAGTTTAGAACGCCACAAACCTCATTTCGAGAAAAACGGAATTAAAGATGGCGATACCAACTAATTGTTGTATCTTTGGTTCTTCTTGGAAGTTATTCAGATAAGAATTGTTTCCAGTTCAGGGCACCTTGAAGATAAAAAACCAACAGGTTTTAAATTTTTAAAATCATCCCCCCCTCTTAATTTTGAAAGAACGAAAAATCGACAATATGGGCCCTTTTCTAAAAAGTACAGTTTTTCTATTAAAAAACCATTTTTTTACAAGATTAATGATTAGATACAATTTTATTGTGTCATTTGAAGAAAAAGAATAGACATTAAACTGATTTAAAATTTTTTGACAGTCTCTATTGTGAAAAAATTGACGCAATATCCAAATTTTCATTTCGACAATTACGAAAAAAAGACTCTAACATCAATATCTCTGGTTCTTCTGGGAAGTTATTCAGATAACAATTGTTTTCAATCCAGGGTACCTAAAAGATCAAAAACCAATAGGTTTAAAATTTTTAAAACCATCCCCCCCTCTTAATTTTGAAAATACGAAAAATCGACAATATGGGCCCTTTTCTAAAAAGGACAGTTTTTCTATTAAAAAACCATTTTTTTACAAGACTAATGATTGGGTATAATTTTATTGTGTCATTTGCAGGAAAAGAATAGATATTAAACTTATTTAAAATTTTTTGACAGTCTCTATTCTGAAAAAATTGACGCAATATCCAAATTTTCATTTCGACAATTACGAAAAAAAAGACTCTAACATCAATATCTCTGGTTCTTCTAGGAAGTTATTCAGATTAGAATTGTTTACAGTCCAGGACACCTTAAAGATAAAAAATCAAGAGGTTTTAAATTTTTCCACACCTCCATTTTTAAAATACGGATTACTTTTGCAAATGACCGACAAAAAGGGCCCTTCTCATTTTTCTAAAGAACCAATGAAATCAAACAGTTAAATTATCGATAAATTAATGAAAACCGCATTATTCGACTTGACAAAACATGTAGATTGATAATAAAAAATAAAAAAAAAATTAAGATTTTACTCCAAAATTACTAAATTGCGATTATCTCGAAAACTAGAACCGACAATATGGGCCCTTTTCATGTGGACGTCCACATATATGTATTCATGACTGCCATATTTGATAATTTCACAGAATTCTGTCATAATATATTTTAAATTTAAATAAAGAAATTAATAATTGTCGGAATGTACATTTTTATGAGCTATTCTATCACCCAGGCGCGAGCTGACAGTGAGTTCAGGCTTTACGAAGCTTGATTGAGGGTTGGTCACCCAATGGGAAATTAACCATTGGCGCAATAATGGTTTTATATTGGGAGCCACACTGAGAAAAATTGCGTTTAACCGAGTGGTAGAAATAGCTCGGTTAAAAAAAAGTATTTAAAAATAAATAAGATATGTTTAAAAGAAACTAAGTTATACTGATTATCACAACCGGGCTGAGATGGTTAAAACACATCTGTTAAAAATAATCCTCCAAAGGATTATCTTAACCAATCTGAAATGTGCATAATGGAAACAAACTTTCGTGGTTGTTGTTACCTATCTGTTTTTTGAATATAAACTATTACTATGCGATTAATATTAACTGAGTTTCATGTAATTACGTTGAGTTGTGAGATTTTAACCGAGTAAACATATCTAGGCGACATATCGTCAGTCACAGTCAGTCAGTCACTTCGTTTCGTCTTTTCCGGAGAGTCGTGTTGTTACAATTCTGGTTTCTACCGACGCGATACAAATTTTTATTGATTATGTTACAGCAGCCATCAAATATAGAATTCATCTACAATAGATACATAGAAATAAAAATAAAACGGAGAATATTTAACGCATTAAACCTTTCATCCCCGATGACATATTACACGATGCACGTTAAAGAGGTTAAAAGTATTTTATTCTATTTGAAAGAGATTTGTTTGATTATAAAAAAGAATTTTAATTTACAGAAAATTTTGGTTATCTTTAAATTAGAACATAATTTTTTAATCAAATAGATTTCTTTCCAATAAAAGAAAATAATTTTTATCAAGGGAATATTTTATTAATCAAAAAATATTTTAATCGAGTTGGGTGGTTTAAAATTAATTAATCGGTTTCTTTATTATAACAGAGCTAATTAACTACAATATTCAAGTTCATATATTATTACTGTAGCCTTTTTAGGTGGCTACAGTAACCGAGTAAGTTAACTAACGTTTACGGAGCATTAATCATAAACTGTTAGTTACAGTAACAGAGAAAGAAGCTACCGTAACCGAGTAGTCTTAACTAGTTTCTACCGAAATTTTTAATCGTCTTTGATCGGTTACTGCAGACAATTCACATTGCAAGTGCTATATTAGCAGCATCGCTCGGTTGTTTTTAACTAAAACTTGGTTATATTTAACCTTTTATTTTTCTCAGTGCAGCAGTATCAATAATGGTGCAATAATAGCAACCAATATTGGGCCACTATTGCCAGAGTCTTGGGATGATCACGACTTTGCCAAGCATTGGCAGCCAATATTGGATCAATATTGGCTGCCAAGACAAATGCCGGACTTTCCAAGCGTTGGATATTCATTGGCAACAAAGATTGGACCAATATTAGTGACCCATTAATTACCAATGCTTTAAATTAAATTAATGCTTGGTTATTTATTGGTTACCAATACTGAACCAACGTTTGAAATCAATATTTTACAAATACCAACATATAGCAAAAATTTTTCAAAAAAAAAATAAATAAATTACTAATCTAAAGAAAAAAAAATTAATTTTATTGGAACACTCTGTTAAAAACAGAATGTGATAAAAATCAGACAAAGATAATATTTGTCTACGTTTGAGAATGCAAGCGTCTCTTCTTATATAGAACTGGTAACACAACTTGCTGGTGAGAGGAAGAAACTGTGGCGCACCCTGGTGGCACTTATCCAAAGTAATTTCGAGCATATACTTTGAAGCAGCGCGGGACATTTCAAAATCGAACACTAGGGTGCGCCAGAGCTTCTTTCACTCACCAGCAAGTTGTGTTACCAGTTCTATATAAGGAGAGACGCTTGCATTCTCGAACTTAGACAAATATTATCTTTGTCTGATTTTTATCACATTCTGTTTTTAACAGAGTGTTCCAATAAAATTAATTTTTTTTTCTTTAGATTAGTAATTTATTTTTTTTTTTTTTGAAAAATTTTTGCTATATGTTGGTATTTGTAAAATATTGATTTCAAACGTTGGTTCAGTATTGGTAACCAATAAATAACCAAGCATTAATTTAATTTAAAGCATTGGTAATTAATTGGTCACTAATATTGGTTCAATCTTTGTTGCCAATGAATATCCAACGCTTGGAAAGTCCGGCACTTGTCTTGGCAGCCAATATTGATCCAATATTGGCTGCCAATGCTTGGCAAAGTCGTGATCATCCCAAGACTCTGGTAATAGTGGCCCAATATTGGTTGCCAATGTTTGACCAAGAAAAAACTGTTGGCAGCCAATATTGGTCCATTATTTAGCCAATGGTGAGCATTGGCAATTTCCCATTGGGCAGTATTGGTTAAAGTTTGGTGGGACAGCGAAAGCAAGGCTGCTTGAGTCCGGAATAGTAACACCGATGTAAACCTGATGCTCAGTCTTTGTTGAAGACTGGCGTTCAATCTTCAATCAATGCTGCGGAAGCCGAAAGCAGGACTGAACAAGACTGCTTCCACTGTTCCCAAATTTACACGCTTCTACCGACAGATTGGCTCAGTCGGATAGATGCCTGGCGTTGGTGG